ATGCAAATGGTCACTACATTTTCTATTATTTCATTTAAAAGTGATAACTATTTGACATGTAACATTTTGTTTGTTCTCTTGCATAAAATCTCAATAATATTTTAGACTCTTAAATTAAATGTAAAGCCTACCTTTATCAATGTTAAAAATGGTAATGGTCCAATAATTTAAAGTTTCTATGTGTTCCCTTTCCCATACTGAAGTTTTATAATTAAACCATCAGCACATAATATTTGATATTACAGAGCAATGGCTACTTGCAATGACTTGATTCCTGAGATTTAATATTTTCTTTAATATGGAAAAAAAAAAAACACAATTACCAGGGTATGTCATTGGGTATAATGACCAGACATTATGATTTATCCATTGAATTTCAACACACAGGGTTTACGTTTTTTTATTTGTCAATGTATATATTTAAGTCCAAGTGCGAATTTTATCTTTGAAGGTGTATATGAAATATTTCAAACTGCAAAAGTGGCTTCTTGCATTTCAGTTTAAAGTGAATCCATGCCCAGATAACTTTAGTGTTTGCAAAGAAACCTGCAAACATAAAGCTGTCTTTAAGGAAAGCATTGTACAATAGCAATCTACTTGATAATGGCTTCAGATACCCATTTGAAACCTGGAATGTTAAAATATGAAAAGGTGTAAATGCAGCGATTTGCTTCCACAAAACCATCAACGATTGATTTAACAAATAATTCACATTCTGACTTATTGTAGTAATATTTGATCAAAAGGGTTTCCAGGTTGGCATTTTTTTTATTAGTATCATAAAATATCAAAAATGAGCAACAGTGTAAAACGGTATGCATTTTCTTCTAAACAACAAAGCATTTTTGTCAATATTCCTGCTTAGAATCATGGAAATATGAGACTGTTTGCAACTTTTCATTCAGTAGAGATGGCACTTTAAGAGAGAGAGACAGAACAAATACTGAGAGCATATACACGCCTTTTCCCTGCTCTTACATTTCTCTGCACAACACATATTTATAGCAGAACTCTGTGGCACATCAAAACATCTATTTTGTCTATTTGGCAGGCCTGTCATAATGTTATCCATTCCCACTCTGACATGCTGTCACCAGTTGTGGCAGATGGTGAAATGTGGGCAAATGCTGTTTTTAAGTCAAAGGGAGAATAGACAAAACTGCTTTTAAGACTTCCGAGTTCGCTACTTTATAATCCAACCATAAGTAAGTGATTGAATTGGAGATGCATGAAATTAATTGCTGATATACTGGGTTTAAGTAGTTCTTCAAGGATGACTTTTTGTGAAGTGAAATAGAGGATGGAGAGGTCATCAAGGGTGTAACAAATCACTCTAGGAAAGGATGGTTCACACACACGCACACACACACACACACACACGCACAAAGAAATCATTCAGCTATGGTCACAGTCCACCAAGGTTTCTTTTAAATCAAATGGAAGCAGCTTCTGGCTGTACATCCTGATGACTTTGCAGATCCTTTACTGCTCTGGTTTCTGTCTCTCACAGGCATCATTTTTGTTCCACAGAATTTGTTCCTGCTTAATCTTTCTGTTCAGTAGCTGAGTTCAATATACACAGTTTTACAAAAGCTGTATGACTTTGGGTACGTTCTCCCTTTGAAATGTACAATGCTGTGTCTTTTCATGTCTGACTTAGATATGGTTCAGTTCTGTTACTCTTTTTTCCTCTTTTCTGCTCTCCATTGTATTTCATGTATTGTAAAGTATTGGCAGGGGTGCCTTTGCTGTGAGTTGGCTGAATCGTTACGGGGTCTTAAGCTGGACAGGGAGCCTACATTGTGCTTGGGATTATAAATATTCCTATGTTAAAGCTTTTATCTGGTCGGTGGGCCAAAGGATGTCCCTTTACAAATGACAATGACCCCTTAAAAAGGGGATTTGGTTGTTGTTTTTATCAACACATCTACATGACAATGTTTTAAATTCATTGTCCATGCACAACACAGCTAAAGACAGTGTAATTTCCTGAAAAATCACAAGTAGGCAATATGATCTTTGAATCAGAATCAAGTTTATTGCCAAGTAGCTTTGCACTTTCAAGGAATTTGACTTGGTGTTGATTTTGCAGACAATATATATATATATATATATATTTTTTTTATATATATTTTTTATATTTATATTTTTTTATATATATATTTTTTTTTGTCTGCATATAGGAAAATACATACAAAATACAGAATCTACAGCTATATACAACATAAAACATACAATATACTGTATGCAATATATAGTACATAGCTATATAGTATATATACAGTACACTGGGCTTGAATGCAACAGGGGGTCTGGAGATGCTGCGTTTGTGTAGCTTTTAGGTCCTGAATGGGGGAGGCAGTGTTAGTATCATGGGAGTCTCTGGGCCTTGTTGATAAGGCTTGTAGCGGATGGGAAGAAAATATTCTTGTGACGTGAGGTTTTGGTCCTGATGGACCGCAGCCTCCTGCCAGAGGGAAGTGTCAGAAATAGTTTATGGCTATGGTGCGAGAGATCAGCCACAATCTTCCCTGTACGCCTCAGAGTCCTGGAGGCGTACAGATCCTGGAGAGATGGAAGATTTCAGCTAATCAATCAGAACACTTGCATGTGCATCTCTTTTTTTGTTTTATAGATCATTCTGTTTAAGAGAAAAAGCATTCTGTTTTTGTGCACAAACAGTTAAAAACACAAGAAAACTACCATTTTAACCAAAATGAGTCATGTAAACAGGGCCTAGCAAATAAATTTGTTATTTTAAATAAATACATTTGTGCATTTCTTTCAAATATATCAAATTTTAAATCCTTATATGCATTCATTTCAGTTTCTATTTGTAAGCAAACAATTTCATAACCATGTAAAGAAAACATCATAAGTACATAGCTGCAAGGATAACTCCTCTCAGCCAGAAGGTGGCGTGCTCCCATTTTCCCAGTTTCATTCCAAACTTTTGTTTGCCACCTGTCCCAAAGGTAAATAACAACCTTCCAATGGCCCCTGAGTCCCCTTGCTTCTTCGAGTTTGTACAAACTCTCAAAAACTTAACTGAAGAACGCTGATTGTGCTTCTTTTTTGGTTTGCTTGAATCTGAGAGATATAACATCATGAAGAAGCCTCTTTCAGAGTTATGGAGCTACTATCTGGCAACACCTAACGTGATCTCAAATTATTTCAAACTTTATTTGTAATGATCTGGAATCCTTTTGTGTATGTGTTCGGATTATAACCAGGTGGAAATCTATGTACATTTTTGAGCTGTCAAGATTTATTAAACAACAATTCATCTAATTTTTGGGAAATTTAAAAAATTTATGTTGTATCACTCTAGAAATTATATGGATTTTTTTTTTTTTTATAATTGTGTAGATGAAAAAGTTGTAGGTTTGATCTTTATTTCTTTGTTTTGGTTATGCAACTTGACAGAAGTGTGAAGAAAAACAGCAATATGAACAATCAAATTAGATTACATTAGATTAGATTCAACTTTATTGTCATTACACAGGTACAGGTACAAGGCAACAAAATGCAGTTTAGGTCTAACCAGAAGTGCAATAACAGCAAGTGCAGGATAAATAATGTCCATAATGTTATCCATTTGTATAACATGCTGTAGAGTCAATGATATAATGCAAGCTCATGTCCACTGTCACCACATGCTCATTCAGGAGGATGAATGTATCTTGCAAAGTCAATGATTCAATGCAATCAGCTGGTTTTCCTTTATAGGGCGAGTTACCATTTCTGATCACTTGACTTACTAATGGAGTCACCCTGTCCATCAGTGAGGTCTAGAAACCCTAGATCTATATCCAAGCATTCAGCAAAGATCCTGCTACATGGCTGTACATCTTATTTTGGCATTTGACCGATTACATGAGCCCTTGAATTATATATTACCTACTGGAAATGAAGTTGAAAAGCAAGTTAACAATTCAAGAAAGAAAAGGTAAAAAGCTAATTGAAAAGGTAAAAAGTAAAGTTAAAGTTAATAAGGTAAGTTAGCAATCATATATAGGTATATAAACTAAAAAAATGTAAGTGCCAGTGTCAGCATTAATGCCTCTAAGGTTATGCTGAACCAAAAAATGTGTTCCTTTCACTCTCAGTGTTTTTTGTGAATTTCTTATAGAAGAACTTTTGTTATTTTTCTTAATATATTGGGGCAAGTTGGCATTTCCTGTTATTACATTGACTTTAATTTCTGCCTTCAAAATTTCCCTATTTTTTTTTTATATAACAAAGGTAATAAGGTCTGGTCCTGGACCCCAATAACACTGTTGGCTTGAAATTTTGTTTTCAAAGTATTTCACTGAGTGCCTATAAAGGGTTAATAGAAAACTTTTAACCAATCTGACTTTATGATCTGATTGATTGTCTCTGTAAAGTGGTGTGATGTGACGGAGTAGTGAATTGGTGCTTTATCACTAAACTGAATTGAGTTACATGTGACTTTTTAGAGCCCTCAAGCATCATCTTGTTTTGTAACACCTGAGGCTCTTTATTGTACCTGTTCCTACACTGTTATTGTGGTAAATTGCGGCATTTTGTTTTGCGGAACAAGTTTAGCATAATGTATGGGAAAGACTTGAGTAGGTAATTAAATAAAAATTGCCAGAGGACATAGTTTAGCTTTCTTCTATATACTGAATATTTGTTTGAAATTTGGAAAATATTGTAAAATTAGTGTTTAGGTTTTGTTTGTTCTTGTTCGTTTTTATTTTGTGTTTTTGTGCGAGAGAACAGTGAGACCCTCTAGTTATTATCAGCTTTTTGTTTGTTTGTATTAAACAACAAATGTGTTGCGACTTTTCAGATTTAACATTCAACATCAGCCATAAGATTGTTTAAAAAATCTGTAATAAAAGCGACAAACCTAACGTTTAACAAGAACGGCTCATGAGAATGAGATTTCATAGTTTTAATTTATCTCCTATTTTTTCCCCCAATAAACTCCTTGTGACGTCACCGACTCTCCGCTGCGCTCGCGCTCCCTCTATGCTTCGCTCTCTTCACTCCGCCTCGCGCTCCCTCTCCGCGTGAAACAAAGTGTAGAGTCCGCGAGAGCCCGCAGGAATCAAAAAAGCGAGGATAAGGACTGAATAATGGAGCCACAACAACAGAGGGAATAATAAGAACCTAGAAACGAAAAAGACCGAGACGACTGAAGAAAGTTGGACCGAGCAAAACTTTTCACGGGAGGAAAACACTCACCTAAAGCCATGGATACACTTTTCTCTGTATTCCTGGGAGTTGCGATTCTCTCGTCTAGAGTTGGCTCCGTCTCTGCTCAGTTACCGACAGGTAAGTTAAAAAAATAACAAAACAATTGATATAATTTGAGGTGTTATTGAGAGGGTACAAGTTTAAAGGATGGGTCTTCTGGTCTCCCTTGTAAAGGTGCATTAATTCCTTACAGGTGTGTTAAAAAAAAAAAGTTCACCTTTGCTTTGACAGCGTCCAGTCATGCCGGTTTTAAAGCTTCTTTTGTTCTGTTTAAATGACGCCGGATATGTGAGTGTCACTTATCTATGAGGTGATTTAAATGTTAAGGAACCGTATTGTGGTTTTATGAAGGAAAAAAAGGTTGAATTTTGTGAAGTGCTTTGCGCTTCCCGTAACTGAGTCAAAGTGAGTCAGAGGGTCGGTCTGAAAACCCATTTTATTAAACTCTGTTAAGTTTTAAAACGATAAGATTCATTGGAAAATATTTAGCCTTCATGTTAAAAATTCGCGTTTGGTATGGAAAATATGACATTTGCAGCTGGTTTGTACTATATTTTTTGTATTTTTTTTCCCCAAATGAGCTGAAAACCTAAAAGGCACAAACAGCGCGTGCCGTCCACTGTCTCGCGCAGCGCACGGATGGAGATGAAAAGTTAAGAAAGCGCACGGACCTGACAGTAACCTATATAAAGTATATATAAACATGTAATATGATATGGCTCTTGTATAAATACGTGTTTATGGCAGTACTGTACACTGGGCCATTTGCTCGCGTCATTTTTCATATAGATGTTGCGTAAATGATACATAGATTTTATCATCTGCTCTCTATGCTTTAGACAGTTTCAGACTGGTTTTGTTTTCCAGGCTTTATTCCGATCGCTTTAATTTGTTTAGATTATTTTGCAGGTATAGTGTTTATAATCGGCTCATTTTATTACTGGAGGAGATTCAAATTTGTATATATAGGCATGAAAGAATAAACAAATAAGTTGAACTCTAGTTAGCCGCTGATTTCTTTGTATTATTCTATGTATTTACGTTTTTTTTTTCGTTCGTAGCGCATCTCACTGCAACTCAGTTTGTCTGATTTGCATGTTTGGGACCCGAGATTCGAGCTATCCGAATTGCAAATGAATGATTTGACCATCCGACCCTTCCTCCATCTCAACGTCTGCGCTCCTGCAGGTGAAGCAGCTGCAGCAGCGCTGTTCAAAGCTTCTGCTGAAGTCAACTTTGCAACTTTTTTTTCCCCGTGACTGCGATGTTTGTGCATTGGCTGCTCAGGCGCTGGTAGTTCCTTGCAGCGCATCTGGTTCCATTTGATCCAGCGCTGTGAGCTATATGCAGGTCCGCTGCGCGTTAATTTCCGCATATCAGAAGTTGTTTCTCTTTCAACTCATGCACGGAGAGAAAGAGGGAACGAGAAACACGAGATTCCCAGAATAGTTATGAGAGCTGACCTCCAAAAAGCGCAATAAAACCTTAAGGACGCATCATGCTCCAGTTAAGTCCTGCAAATGAATCCACATTTATTGTACAAAAACCTCATTTTCTGCTCCAGTATTCTCGCTGGCCACATTAATTCCAACTTTATCAGCCAACGTTTTATTGTCACCCTTCACCCCCACCCTGTAGCTCATAACTATCCCCCTGCCTCCCCCTCTCTTGGGGCCATTTGTCCCTCTGGGCAACAAATGTGTGGAATTTCTTTGAGGCCTCTTTGGGTGTGTGAGTGCTGTTAATTTGCAAGTAAATACTAGTGACGGGATGCCCAAAGAGGGAGATGTGGAATATAATTTGTTTGAATAAAGGTTTACATAGAGTACTTGCACCCAGTTGCATTCCAGAAAAATAACATTTACTTATTTCACCTTAAGAACAAATACATTCATGTTATAATAAGGCACACATTAATGAGTTTAGTCTTGCAAAACGCATTTTTTGGCTAAAATCTTCTGCCCAAAATCTGTCTTATCAATATGTCAAAAGACTTTGGAACCTATGACTTATATGGGCACATGTTTTCACTAAAATGTTACCTATTAAAGCTAGAGCATGGACTGCAAAATAATTAATAAAATCAAATGGCACTAACGAAACAAGAACTGCATCATTAAGAATTCCAATAAGCTTCTAAAACTATCCTTCATATAAAAGAAGCTAAGTCTCTGGTCCAATATCTGTTTCTCTAAATTAGTCTCATACTTTTTTTTATCAATTTTTAGTTTTCCAATTACTGAGTAAAGCTATAAATTGAGTCGTTCTCATAAATCTCCCTCTCTTTCTTCTTATCGTGCTGTTTTGCATATTTATAAGTTGGCTAATCACTTACAAAGTCAGTGTAATAAATGTGAACAAGCCTGCGCTGCGCCGTCTTCCAAAAGTCAGCGACTGAATTTTATGTTAAATTGACAACTTTCTAAATCTGCCTCCTCTCTGATGGAGTTGTGACACAGATTCCAGGCGTCTTTAATCCTAATGAAGTGAAATGATTGTTTTCCATCAGTGTCTCCAGACGAATTAGAAGACTGCCGCTCCCACTGAACACAAAAACTGAGCTGGTTTAATTATAACTGTAAATTATTTTAGTATTTTTGAACATTAGCACCAAGTTGGTTTAATTATAATTACTTTTCCGCTCCATTTAGGAGATGAAGCAAAATTTGGTGTTTTAATGAAGAAGAGTGAGGGAAGCAGAGTGATAGTGAGAAAGAGGAGAGAGGGAGAGGGGGGAAAAGAAAAAAAATCAAGAAACCATTGGTTTTTGGCCTTGGGCATCTCCTCCACTCAAGAGACTGTGAAAACGGCAGGAGGGATAGAGTGTGTGTGAATCATTGTGTGGGTCTGTCATTTTTTCGTGCATGCATGGTGCAAGTTTGTGTGTCAGCTCTTGTGCTTTGCTGTCACTTAAAGAGACGGAGGCAGGACGATGCTTTTAAGCCCTCCGGTGAACAGCGGTATAAAGACGAGTATATGAAATGTTTGCCTCTCATTTAAGATTCATGCAAAAAAAAATAATAACTGCCTTTTCATTCTACTCATGCCATGAAACATGGCGCCAAATCAAAGGCCGGTTTGATTTATTTTCAGTAATTTCTCAGTCTGCAGCTCTTCAGATCAATTTTTATGTCTTCTCCTCAAATCAACTGTCATTTTTCACCAGACCCAATCTGTTTCTAGTGATTTCAATTTGGTGATAGATTAAAATAAAAAGCTTTATCTCTTTGAAACTACTGGCTCATTCCTTGGGCTGTTTGGGGACGGAGTCTGAAAAATGTAATTAATCTGTTGAGAGAATTCATTAGCTAATCCCTCATTAGACTGTGTGCATGTGTGTGCCGGGGTATGAATGAATATGAGGGTTTGTGGTGAAATGGATTAGCAACACATGGCGGTTGTTCAAAGAGGAAAAGGTTCTGGAAACATGACATGATTGGCAGGTTGGGAGCCTGACTATTGTACTTTTCTACAGGTTAAACTTTATAAACCAAACCTAAATCATAGATTGTTGTTTTAGTTTTGTTTACCTTCTGGAATAATCTGAAATCTCAAACACAATGGTTCTCTTAAACTTTATTAAGCATGTTTAGGAGCCAAAATAACCTGTACGTTTTGACTCCAAACCCAAAGCTTTGGTTAAAGGTTACATATTTCCACCACGTATTTACCAAATCTTTCTCCTACAACTTTAGAATGTTTTCTTATTTTTTTCTAGTGTTATTTTACAGTTCAAATTCTCTATAGCAGAGAGAATGTTCTGTTACATCTTCACTGAGATATCTATTTATGCAGGTTGGTTCTTGTCTGTGTCAAGTGGAAGTCAAAAGAGGATTTAACCAAAGACTCTGTAACATTAACAAATTGAAGGACTGGTTAGGTTATTATTTAGCCTATCAAAATAATATCAGTTTCAAAATTACCTATAAAAAGAAGTGTTTCCCTAGCTGAAAAACTTCAGAATTGAAATGTCTTTGCTGTTGTTATTTGAATTTCCTAAAGGTGGCTTTATGATTTGAACTTAAGAATCTGTGGCCTCCTAACTTAAATTGTGTTTTCCTTAAATTTAGAATAGTTTCCTGTGATTAATTCATCACAAAGAGTTCATCTGAGGGATTTTAAACATTGGTGTCTGTATTGGTGTCCTCGTGGCAAGGTCTTTTTCTAGGAATAAAATCCACACCCTGCTTCTTCTGACGCACTTTGAAAGGTGCTGGGTACTTAAAATGTGCTTCTGAAAGATTTTTGTGTAAAAGACCTACTCAAAACATCCTTAGCTGTGCTGCATAATAAAAAGATACAGTTTTCATTCTAATGTTTATGGTTTAGGTTGCATCTGAGGCCCCGTCCACACGAAGTCAAAACGAACACGAAACGCTGATATTTTCCAAAACGTTTGTCGTAAAGACGGACACCTAAAATAACTGTGATCGTCCACACGAATGCATGAAAACGCTGCAAAATGTATGCCAGGCCTGTAAGTGGCGCTGTGGTGCCAAAGCAAAAATAAGCGACGAAATGTTGGGCATGCGCACTAATATTTTTACATGGTTGCCCTGCGGGTCCATTTTCGTGGTTCAGTCAAATTCAGGTGCTGAACTATGTGGTCGATATTGCTCTGTTCTTCCTGGAGATATTCCAGAAGAAGAAGATTCTGTTGTAAGCCCAACAGCAGGGTGAGTAGCATGAGCAGCAACCATTCAACACAGTACGGCGCCATTGTTGTTGTGATACTGTGTCGCGCATGCGTGTTTAGAGGCGACGCTATGACGCATGCGTGTAAAAAAAAAAATGCGGTTAGAGCTTAAAGATGGAAACGCGAAAACGGCGTTTCAAAATCTTCCCACTCTGAAGGCTGAATAAAAAAAAGATCGTTTACAGACCCCCGAAACGCCGGCTTCGTGTGGATGAGAGGCTGGTTTGGTGAAAAATTTGTGCGTTTAGACCAGGGTTTGGCTTCGTGTGGACGGGGCCTGAATCAACATTTTGTGTGTTCATTTATCTTTGAGTCCACCGGGTGCTAGTTTATTTCAGTATCACTAGATCTGTTCTATAAAGGCCTAACAGGCCAACAAATCTGCTCATCAGTCTGAGCACTCCACCACCCTGAAACATGGTGATGGCAACATCATGCTATGGGGGAGCAATTCTTCAGCAGGGGCTGAGAAACTGGTCAGAGTTTGTTGGAAGTTGAGTATAGCTAAATACAGAGCAATTTAGAAAAAGTGACTGAGTGGCACCTTCCAGCAGGACAACAAGCCGACACATACAGTCTAGACGTTAAATCTAACTTAGAGTTTGATTTCAAATGCACAGCACACTTTTTAGATTTGTTTTTCCAGCAAAATATTGGTTAAAAAGGCCAAATATGACAGTTTCTAAAACGGTTCAATCAGCATTAGTAATTTCAGATCATAGTTCTTTTTAAGATTGTGGAGAATCACTGGGCGAATAAAACCAAGTGACCCATGAAAGTGATAAAGTTCCAGGAAAATTAACTGAGGCAGAGTTCTCAAAACAATCCTTGAAAGCCTGAAACATCACATCCCTGATAAATGATGATACAAGTCCAGTATCATCAATCTGCGCCCTGCCCTCTGTTTCTCCAGTCACAGCTGTTAGTGCGAGGCTGCTACTCATACATCCACATTTATATTTATGTATACCCACACACACACACTTCTACAAATGGCTGACTAATGACAGATTAAGTAATCAACACTCACAGCCGATTGATTAGCTTATATAGCAGACATGTATACAGAAACACATACATACAAATACATAGATGTTAAAACACTCCTTTGCCAGCTTTAGGCTTGGCTTTTGGTGTTTGAGAAATAATCAGTGGAGTTTGAACTCTAAGGACTGAGAAACAGTGGCAGGTGAGAACAGTCTTGGAAAAGAGCTTATTTTTAGGGTAACCATGAGGGTTGGTTGAGGGCAATGGCCAAGGTCGGACGTGTGATAGCTAGGGAGGAAGTTTGTGCCTGGGAACTTAAGGCCAGTCGTGAATCTCACCAATTTCTCCCATAAAGATTTTATTTAACTTTTTAGAAACACTGAAGAAAACAATTAGATTAAAATTGACAGGCTTTATGAAAACTGAATCGTCAATATTAATTATTTTCTCACTTCTTCAGGTTCTAAAAGCTCTTTTTAATTTGACAATTGATAAATAATAAATCTCTACAGGGACCTTGCAGCTCTCTAGTATTTGTGCAACTCTGCATGCTTTCTAATCTAATTCTGTCCTATTATTCTCTTCTTTGCTTCTGTTGGATCCAGCTCACTTGGGGCGCGCAGAAAAGGGTGAGTTACGACTTGTCTGCGAGGGGCTGCGTTTCATGTTTCATCGTTCTTTTAGTTTAGTCATAATCTTTCTACAGCCTTAACTCTAGGTTCTGTTTCTAGCTTGACATCTGTTGTATCTATTATTCACCCATCACACCTTTTAGAGGATTTCTTTGTTTTGTTTTGCATAACCATCCCATTGATACTCCTGGCTCAGCTGGTATTTTCATAGTTTTAAAGTCATCTTGACACCACTGACACTTCAGTTTTTACATGTTATTAAGCAACCATAAAAATAAAGCTTGTAGTTGTGTGGTTTATGGTTTTTACCGTTTTTTTTTGTGTGACATTGCCATATATTGGATTTTTTTCTTTAATTGTTTGATTTGATGTCAAAACGTTTCAGCGATTCACAAACCTTAAGGCCATGCTTGTCGTGTTTTTTTTTTTTTTACTGTAAATAAATGGCTTGAGTTGATGAAATACTTGAAGCCATCTTGTACTGGCTTGCTGTCGCTTGTAGTTATTTCTCTGCTTACCTGGCTGCCAATTAATCTATTTGCTGCTCGTCTGTGTGCTTCCCTTCCTGTCTTTGTCTTCCTGTTTTTTTTTGTATAGTTAGACAGCTGTCGGGAGGGTTTGAAGTTTTCATGTGATGTTTGTTTAGCTGAGCCTGCTCTGCAATAAAGGAGCTCAGAGGAACTTTGTTCTTTCAGTAGCTGCACACATCTTCCATTCATATTTCTCTTTGCTGTTTTTTTTAATCCTGTGTTGCATATTTTGTTTTCCCTGTTTTTCTAACTTTCACACACAAACACTCAAATTCTAAACACTACATTATACTTTTTTTTTTGTTAGAATTTGTGCTCTACAAAGTTTGCCTCATAGCAGCATCGTGTCCCGTATTGTTTTTAATTGACAAAAAAGAAAACGCCAAATTGTTTAAAAATAGGCTTAAACATCTATTTTTCTAATGCCTTTAAAAGAAGGTTATCTAAAGTGATATAAACGATATTCTTCAAAATTAGATGGAATTAGGGATGTTACAAAATTTATGTATAATTAGTTATCAATTGATGGTTTATTAGATTGAAATTTATTCCATCCAATAAATGATCATATCCAGGATACTATCTAGGATTTATCAATGAATTGATCAGATCAAGCCACTTTAGATTGATCCATTAATTGATAACCTTAGAGAGAGCAGATATGAATTTTGGTCTGAATTTTAAGAAACTGCTCTTTGCTAAAAAAAACTATCCTGTTGATATTATTTTCACCACAATCAACAAATGGAGTTTTGGCCAGGGCCTAACATATAAATGTTTTTGTCATAAGTGGTAATAAATGATTGATGATCTGTTTGAAAGACCATCTGCAGTACGAAAAGGATGTCCCTCTTTACTGTCCGTCAGATTATACTTTGTCCAATCAATGTGCAAGTTCATCCCAAAGGAAGAATATGTCTATCATTAAACTGATGGTGGTCAGAGGTGGTGACTCTAAAGCAGCCTTACCTCTGCCAGTGTGCCCCAAGATAGCTGTGGCTACAGAGTAGCCTGCAACCATCAATGTGTGAATATGTGCCTGAACAGGTGAATGACCCCTGACTAAAAAATGCACTATGTAAGTACCAAACATTACTATAAAACTGCTCCTCAGATTGTTGAGGGAGACATCAAGAGTTGCTCTGATGTAAGAAGCATTTAACAGATCGACAGAGTAAAAAGTAAAACCCATCCATCCATCTTCCTCCGCTTATTTGGTCAGTGTCGTGGTTTGTCCGGTGTCCGGGAGTCTAGGGTGGAGAGGCAGGGTACACCCTGGATAGGTTGCTAGTCTGTCGCATGGCAACACAGAGACATACGAAGACATCCAACCATGCGCACACACTCACACCTAAAGAGAATTTAGAGATGACAATTGACCTAACAGTCATGTTTTTGGACTGTGGGAGGAAGCCAGAATACCTGGAGAGAACCCAGGCATGCACAGAGATAACATGCAAACTATACACTGAAAGACCAGGAATCGGACCCAGAACATTCTTGCTGGTGGTGGAGGTCAGAGTAAAGATCCTCCTTCTGCTTAAACATGCATTTACCATATTCCTTATGTTTAAAAAAAGTGCAATGTGAAAGTAAACTACACCAAAAAAAAATAAATTAGATTTTAGTCAGAGTAAAACAAGGGTAACAAAGCATTTTCCTGGTGTGATTCCATCCGTAGGAATTTTTACCCTGCTGTTCAACCAGTTCCTGTTACTTCTTTGGAAGTTTAGCCAATGTTTGATAAGTCATGGTTCAAGCCAAACCTCTGAAAGTCATATGCAGGAGGGCATATTGATGGCTTGTTGGCTAAAGTTTAACTCAGCCTGTTTTTTTTTTAAGACTGAAGTAATACTGAGAAATGTGTAAATTGTATATTGTATTTTTTTTATTTATATTTTAATGTATTTTTTCTTTACTCTTGAATACACTTGTCTGAAGACTTCTATTTTATTGTGTAGCTTGTAGTTTCAGCAGATAAGAAAGCCAAGGTGCATGTAACCTCCAGTAAACTACAAAAGCCTTGTGGCCCCTCTGCATGCAGCTTTAGACACACAATAATAAAGATTTCCATTATTCCAGTTATGAAGACATCTGTCATAAGTGCAACGTAAAGTCAGGCAAATACATAGAAGTTGCCTGGAGCAGTCTATTTGCAGCATAAAAGAAGCAACCTTCAATCCTGATTTGTTTGGGTTTTATTTCATATATTTTTCCAACATGACATTGAGCTTCAGTCTCTTTCAAACATAAACCATAGCTTTATTGTCTTTATTATATGTTCTGAAGGACACATATTTCCAGTGCCATTACATTTCTTTCTAACCGTCCCCCTCTCCAATTTAAGCTGATTTCAGATCAGAAGTAGTGGAAAGCTTTTCAGATATGTAAACCCTCTCTGTGTGAGTTTGTATGGGAACGCAGGCTTGTGCAAATCAGGGGCTTAAAGATAGCTAGTTGACCAGTCCATTAAGATTATAATCTTCATCCGTGGGCACGTATCTTCACATCGCCACACTTCTGTCTCGCCGTTTCTGTGGAGATTTAAATCTTCCATCAGATATTCCCATTTTTTCCACCAAATGATCTTATAGTCTTTTTCTCTCCAATCAGTCTATCTGCCACTCTAATCTGTCGTTTAGACTGTCTGGCCACTGCCAGCTTTTGTGTGTCCATCGTTACCACAGATGACTGCAGGCACATGGTCAGCCCGACAGTGATCATGTATACACGTCTACAGTCAGTCACTGTAAAAGACAGGCTGTGTGTGGGAGTGTGGAGAAAGACATTTAAATGTTGAGCGGCTGTCTGTATCTCAATACTTCACTGGCTGGTCCATCCCAACCATTTTGTTTGACACTCTGCCTGTGATAAGATGGAACATTAGGGTAAAGACTGACATAAAATGTTTTAAATTGTATTAACATTGTTGCTTTCTAGAAAATAAGAGCTTGAACATCATAGTTTATAACTCCAATGTTTTTTCCAGACTGCTCTTTTCATATTTCCAAAGAGCAGCCCTTGGTAACAACAAAGGGAATCTGCCTAAACTTTAGGAAAAAAATGTTAATGATGGTCACAATGCATGAGAAGAATAAATAAAATTATCAGACAATTTTTAGCATCAAGAACTTGATTATGAAGAATCGCTTATAAAGTAAAAAAAAAAAAAAAAGCACCCAGCTCAGCTGAAGTATGGAAGAAATAGGAAATGGAAGGTTTCAAAATCCTGAAAGAAATACTCATGGGAGATGTCTCTAAAGACCTCAGAGCAACTGCTAGGTCGTTAATAAATGACTAAGCCAGGTTAGGTATTAGAGCTGTGCAGAGGAATCGACTGCAAGGTTTCAGACCAAGAAAATGCAGGAATGATACCCTCTAGCCAGACTGAAGTATATTAAGAGAAGCCTCAGGAAAGATTATACACTCTGCAAAAATGTTCTTTGCTCTGATCTGATGAACCCTTTTAACAGAAATGTAGCTTTTTCTCTCTGAAAAATAATAGTGAGGCCTTAAACCCTGAAAAGAAAATGACTGCACTATAAAACATGCTATGAGTTTTATTGTGTTTTGAATTGGGAATAAGGTCAAGGTGGAAGGAACCACTTAAATGACATTATTTTGAAACAAAACTCAAAGCTGGTATCAGTAGAGCTGGTTCTGTATCACCTCTTATTCTTCCAACATGACAGTGGGCCAGAATATATATTTCTCTGTTGATAAAGAATCACCTCTATAGCACTAATGTCAATATTTTTCCCAAACTAAAGCAAAATGCCCTGACTTAATACTCATTAAACATCTGAGGGGTAATTTCTTAGGAGACACCTATAGGCTATTGTCTAACAAAAAATATTCAGGTATGAGTGGTAGCTTAATAATAATAACTAATAATTTTCAACCCGATGGTTTATTGTTTTGGTGAAACAAAATAATTTCTCAGTGCAATGTTAAAAAAAAAGCGGAAACCTCCAAAATAAACACTGAAATCTATGTTATCCTCAACTGTAAACAGTCATAATTTTTTCAAATCTTACCTATAATTAATCTAATTATACATTATAGTTTCTAGAAACATTTAGTCTTGTTCATTGATTCTAAACTTCCATAACTGCTGGAATGTGACTGATTAGGACCCTAGATTAAACCAGATTGATTAAAATGAAATTAACCTTTGTTGCTAGATTATCTTAAATCGAGTCATAAAAGCAGATTTACTTAAAAAAAAAAAAAAAAACTACTTTAAGAATTCAGAAAAATTAGAGCAAATCATCGGTTATGAAGATCTGTAAAAGAGAATGATGGTACAAATATATCCTATAAAAGATGGCTCCAAAAACAGGTGCATTGCAGGGGCAAAATGGCCCAAACTACAAATGTTTTGGATGGCATTGGACAAAATGCATAAAACTTTACTTTTCAAATATTACTATGGTCTAATATACTCCGTTGTATCACTTCTGTTTT